TACATGAGGCCCTCTTGGGGCACGGGCACACAGAAATGGTAGCTTATGTCTTTTTCCTCTATTCTTTTTTTTTCTTTTTCCTAGTATCATGGATTGAGTTTAGGACCTTGAGCTTGCCAGGCAGGTGCTTATGCTGCTGAGCTATCTCCCCGGCCCTTTTAATGTTTTTGAGACAGGGACTTGCTATGCTGTTCAGGCTGGCCTTGAACTCTCTATGGCCTCAATTACTGGCATGCACCACTACGGCTGGCTTCCAAAGCCCATTTTTAGCCTCTGTGCTTCAGCTTCTTGTCCTAATATTTTTCTTAGTTTTCTTGCCATGCCTGTAAAGCAGAATGAAAAAAAATGTACTCAACTTTGAATTATTTAGGTCTCAAATATATGCTTCCTGTGAGATCCCCTTTTTGCTGGGCTTTTGAGCTTGTTGGCCTACGGTGTTACTGCTTTAGCTCAACACACCTCACTTCTGCAAATCCTGTCCCACAAGGGCAGCAAAGGGGAACAGATGTGCTAAGCCCTTTCTGCAATGCACTACTAGGCCTAGTCCTCCTGAGTGGAAAAGGCAGCACACCACTTTACAGACCTGGGGGATCCTGGAGGCTTTGAAACATGCCTAAAAATTCCTTGATGCTTCTCCCCACAAGCACAGAGCTGGGCTGGGGATGCAGCTCAGCAGTAGAGCACTTGTCCAGATGCACAAAGCCCTGGATTCCATCCCCAGTACTGCAAAAAGTAAGAGAGAGGTACAGCTAAATTCCCATCCCTGAGTATGGGTTAGACTCATTGGTAGAATGTAGCAGAACCAAACGGTGTGTCCCACCCGGTGTGATGGCCTGTGCCTGTAATCCCAGCACTCGGGAGGCTGAGGCAGGAAGATGCTATGAGTTTGAGGCCAGCCTGGGCTACACAGTGAGTTCAGGGCTGGCCTGAACTGCATAGCAAGACCCTATCTCAAAAAAAAAAAAAAAAAAAAAAAAACAGATCAAACACAATGAGCCTTCAAAATCAGGTTGTAAGAGGGGCTTGTCCTCCTCCTTGCTCTTTCTCAAATGAGTCACTCTGGAGAACTATCTGCCAGGCCATGAGGACTCTTGGGCAGCCCTGTGGAGAGGAGCTGAGGCCTCCCGCCAACAGCCACTCAAGGCTGGAAGGAGAAGCAGGCCCTCCAGCCCTCCCTAATCCTGTTTCCAGATGAATCTGGCCCAGTTCTGAGGCTGAACACAAGCTCCTGAGAGACCCAGAGCCACTCAGGAAAGACACATCCAGATCTCTGACCTACAGAACCTGAGATAATCTTTGCTGCTTTAAACTGCTAACATTTTTCCAGGCACAAAATCCCAGCACCTGAGAGGCTGAGGCAGGAGGATCACTGGGGCTCCAGACAGTGAGCTCAAGGCAAGCCTGGACTATGTAGCAAGACCCTGTCTTAACTGTCGCCAAATAAATAAAATAAAAATTGAGCTGCTAAAAAAACTTTTTTTTTTTTTTTTTAATGCACAGAACTGGGGATTGAACTCAGGCCCTCGCACTTGCCAGGGAAGCACTTATTCCACTGAGCCATCTCCCGGCCTCAATCCTTTTTTTTTTTTTTTTTCCAGAACCAGGGATTGAACTCAGGCCCTTGTGCTTGCCAGGCAAGCACTTATTCTACTGAGCTATCTCCCTGGCAGCATACACCACTGAGCCCAGACTCTGCCCTGCTCAGCCCTCCCTGAAGGCGGGGGCTGGAGCAGCATGCGGTGCTGGGGATCAAAGTGCGGTCCCTGCGCTTGCCTAAGCTTGCCTAAGCAAGCACTTTAGTCTGCTGAGCTATCTCGCTGGCCCCTAAACAAACTTTTTTAAGGCTGTAAAGTTTTAGGGTCATGGTTATGCAGCTGTGTATAGTGTAACACCCATGTTATCCCAGCACTTGGGAGGCTGAGGCAGGAGGATCACTGTAAGTTTGAGGCCAATCTGAGCTACACAGCAAGTTCAAAACCAGCCTGCATTACATTGTTGAGACTCCCTCCCACTCCCTTTCCTCCCAAAAAACATGGATACTCTTAAAAATACTCGTCACTGTTCAGGCAGGGATAAAAATTTCCTGAGAGAAGCAATTCTGCAGAAAGGATTTCTGCAGAACAGAGACTGATGGAGAAGGGGCAAAGGCGCAAACGCGAGGTGACTTTGCTTTCAAGCCACCCACGCTGTCATTCTCCTTTCCTTCATCCTGCTGTTTCCTAGCACTAAATTGTGTCACTCCCTCGTTGGCTTACCTGTCTCTCTCCCCACCACAATCTATGCTCCAGGAGGCCCAGCCCTGGCTTGATTCACCAGAGCTTACCAACCACTTGGGGCCCTGTCTACCTGCAGCTAACACATTACCATTCTCTACGTAAACCTTCTGTCTCCCGTGGAAGAGGCAAACCCTCTTCCCCACACCGCCCTTTCCCTGCCTTAAGTATCTCAGCTGAAACCCATTAAAATTCCTAAGCCCTTGACCACAATGGAACAGCATAAACCCCAGAGCCATGGAGAAGCCCAGCACCACTGCTGGTCACACACCCACCATGCCAGGGAGCCGGCGGGTTGGGGAGCCCCAGCTGCCCCGCTTGGCAGGCGCCTCCAGCTAGGGAGCAACATGATTTCCAAAAACAATGTCATTTTAATTAAATTCCGCAGAACTATTCCAAGGCCCCCGAGGACTCCATCATAGTGGGATTTGTTACCTGGCTTATGAATATTTGAAAGCTGCATTCTTTTCAGCTGAACAAATGAACTATTTCTGAGGTGATGGTTTCCCCCCTAAGGAGGGTTGAGCACCATGACAAGTGCCTGCAGCCACGGCTGGAGTTTGTAAATCTAGTTGCCAAGTGATGCAACCAATACCTCAGTCAGGCGGCCCTAGAAAACAGATGCGTGAGCCCTGTTTCGGCAATTAAAGTCAACCCTAAGTGGATCTTTTGATACCTACAGGATCTTCACAACTTAAAGGACTCTTGTAGTAATGAACACAAGACACCAGTACCTCAGAAAGACACCCAGTGGGTGCCATTTGCCCCAAAGGGCCATCTTCTCCCCACCTCTCCTCTCAAGGCCTTCTTCTCCGTCCCAAACAGTGGCCTCTTGGCCTCCTGTCTGCCAACCCCACCCTCGTCAGTCCCACAGCAGCAGGAGGATTTGTTGAGCAAACCTGAACACATCCTGCAACACATGAAATCTCAGGAAGGCTTCCAGCTGTTCTCATGGGAAACTGGAGCGTCAGCTTCTCGGTCCTCCTTTACCTTCCATAAAGAGCCCTGAGCCCATGTGGCCCCAGCTACGGATGCAACCCTGACCTTCCTGAGCAGGTGAGAAAGGTCAAGGAAAGCCACCAAGCCAGGGACTGGGTTACTATCCATGTCCCCCACTGACTGTACCCCACATCGTGGGGGCAGGGACCGCCTCAGGTTACCCCCCTATCTAGCCAGTGCCCAGCACCAATCGGGTGCTTAGAACATATTGCTGAATGAATGAACGAGTCCATGAGACCCATTCCCCCCTCCCAGCTTCACCCTTGTGTACTTTCTTTCCTCCTCTCTCCCACAGCCTCCCATTTATTGCCATCTAAAGGTCAGGTTACATGTCCCCTCCTGGCAACACCAGTCCAGGATTCTTCCGACCCTATCTCCCACTCTGTGTGTCTCCCTCTGCCCATCAGATCAGAGCCAATCTGGCCTGTGACCTCTAGCGGGCGGGGACCCTTGGTCTTGTTCATCTGCTCTCCTCCCCAGCCCAGGGCTCTGAAAATCTTGCTGCAATTAAGTCAGAACAGAATAGGATTGGAAGCAAATCCCACTCCCTGCCCTCCCCACCGGGAGTTGGGTCTCTGCCTTTCATGCAGCCCAGATCCAAGAGTTGTACACAGGTTCAGCTCGTGGGGAGGGAAAATTTCTGGGAAATAATTAAACAGAGGCTGAAAGTAAAACCCCGAGAAGCCCAGAGCCAGCCCTGGCCTCCCTTACCAAGCCTGGCACATGGTCCGCACTCAGCACACACTGCGCGGAGGCTGAGGGGATGGAAAATGCACAGCTTGAAGCTCCTGGGCCATGGCTGGCAGCTGGCCTGGATCATACTCTGCCGCCAACACCACCACCAGCTCCTGTGAGAAAACCTAAGAGCTGGGCCTGACCCGGAAAACCCAGCACACCTCTAATCCTAGCACTCAGGAGGCTGAGGCAGGAGCACCATGAGTTCAAGGTACCCTGGGCTTCGCAGTGAGTTCGAGTCCAGCCTGAACTACCTAGCTAGACTGTCGAAAGGAAGAAAACCTAAGAGGGCCAGGGACAGTGGGAGTCCCAAAGGTGACTGACTTCCTACCCCCGAGGATCCAGGCAGACCCACGCGAAACCATCAGTCCAGGGTCACACTGCACAAGGTGAGGCCTTAGCTACCTTCCTGGCCCTGAGCCCGCCTGACCATCAGACACTCCCAGTAGGGCTGCTCGCCCTGGGTGCTGCTCAGGAGAGGTCCCTCTGAGTTGGAGGTGCCCAGTCTCAATGCCCAGGGAAAGAGACACTTCAAGCCATTCTATCTCTTGTCAAATCCATATTCCCTGAAAATGCTCACTCCTGGTACTCGCTGTCATATGGGCAAAACAGACCCAGAATGCAAGTATGCACTAGCATGTACACACACACACACACACACACACACACACGCTGATTCTTGTGCTTACATGCACACACACATGCACACATGCACACTGATTCATGGGGAGGTGTCTCCCATACCTCTGCCTGCCTGGACTGAACATGTCCCCAAAGGGAGCTGTGGGGACACCCCAAGTCCAGTTGTAGGCCAGAGCCCTGTCTTCCAGGTAACAAGATGCCAAGAAGCCTGGACCAGGGCCTGGCCCTCCCATCCCTACTGTCCCCTTCAGCTCGGAGGGGGCTGGCTGCAAAGCGCCACTCAAGCCCATGGTCCAACCCCCAAGGCTGGGGCCACAGCTCCCAGCCTGTCACCAGCCAGGCAAGTCTTACTTCTTCACTTTGGGGTACTTCATCTCTGCAATGGCGTTGGTGGCCTCTGTCTGCTTCTCCTTCAGGTGCTGGGGCCACATATTGTCCACCCAGTCCACCAGGTCCACCTGAAAGCAGGCCACCATCAGCACTTGTGGCCTCCACTGCCAGGCCAGAGCCCAATATCCCCTCTGCCCCAGAAGTCCCCGCAGGCCTTGAGCTGGACTGCTGCACCCACTGCCTCCACCCGCACAGGAGTCCCAATAACCTGCCCGCCCCCTCCTTTACTCCCCGGGAGACCAGTTCAGGTCAGCCGCCTAGTTCAAGTGATAGCCCAGAGCCAGGGAGACAGGTAGGTGACAGGTGTTGCAGAGGGGCCCTGGCCGGTGCCTACCACAGTGGGACGCTTGACCAGGTGCTCCAGCTTTGTGTGGCTGAACTCGAGGCTGATGACGTTGTACAGCTTGTCCCGCTGTGCCTCGGGCGTCTCGTAGTAGCGCACGAACTGGGACATGCTCATCTCTGTGCCCTTCTGGGTGTTCACGTCCATCACATCCACCAGCCGCCGGCTCCCTGGAGGCAGAACCAACACCACACTGTCTCCAGCCAGCTCCGGGCACAGACCCCACTGGAGACAGCCACAAAGCGACACCTATGCGCCCTACAGGTTTTCCCAGTGCTCTCGCTTCTAGTCCACATTTGCTCATTGACCTTCCTTGCCCTGTAGGGTCTCCTCACCTGACCTCCCTCTATCCTGTCTGTCCTCCATCATGGTGGCAGTCTACTGTCACCACTCTGAGGTACCCTCAATGGCCTCTGTTATGGTTTGTGTCTAGTTGTCCCCCCAAAGCCTCATGTAGTCATGGGGTGAGGACTTCTAGAGTTTGTGTCAACTCATGATCCACTGGGATTATGTGTGATCCAAGGCTGGGATTATGGGTCTTAGTACTGCTCGGATTACCCATAGGTGGGTAAATACTGGGAAGTACCCATAGGTGTGAGTACTTCC